GATGGTTTCATAAGATGATGTCATAAGATGATGTCATAAGATGATGTCATAAGATGGTTTCATAAGATGATGTCATAAGATGATGTCATAAGATGGTTTCATAAGATGATGTCATAAGATGATGTCATAAGATGATGTCATATATATTGATGTCATAAGATGATGTCATAAGATGATGTCATATATATTGATGTCATAAGATAATGTCATAAGATGATGTCATATATATTGATGTCATAAGATAATGTCATAAGATGATGTATAAAGTTCTCCAGTCTTTCTCCCATCTGCCATGCTAGCATGCTAAATTGCAATCCATTCTTAGTCTAGCCATGACATGTAGACTGCCAGATGTTATTCAGGGTAGGGATCTATTTAACCAATAAAACAGCTTTTCCATGCTCTGTTCATTAATAAATCATGCAGGAAGTGACATCATCACGAAACAAGTGATATAAGAAGCACAACCCATATGCAGCCAATCAGCTATCACATAGTATCCAAGCTATATAATTATTGTGTAATAATGATGTCATCTGTTCAACAGGTTGACGAGAGTAATGTTGAAGTTCTCAACATAGTGGCATCCCCTGAGGGGGCTACACAAATCAGTTCTGTAGACAGCTATAGATATCCTAAAGCAGGTAGATGATGGATATTCAGCTATTTAAAGAGAGGGTTGGTGAAGGTTTCGTTGCATGTTCCTTGTAAAGCTCCAAAAGTTTTTTTATTCATATGTAAATAATGTCAGCACAGAATAAATTATGCCAAATAAATGGTAGACAGGGTTTGTGCAAGTTCCATATTGTTATGACCTTTCACTGATTGTATATTCGCTGATATACCATAGTGTAATTTTGGCTCCAAGTGCAACATGCAACAATGCCTTCCCAACCTTGCTGTGTTGCTCTCTTAGCAACCACAGTATTCAAAATATCCTTTGACCCTTCTGAGTGAATTTACAAGGATAAAAATCCTCTCTATAATTCATTTAACCTACCTACTTGGCATTTTCAAAGGATTTGAAATTATTGAATCAGAAAAATGAAACAATGGAATGTAGTTTTTCATAGTATTTTATCAACAGATTGGTTAAACAGAGCCCATGAATCAGTACATGATTGATTTTTTCTGTGACAAGTGATAAACTTTGAACCACTCTAGTGATTTCCTTACTAATGAAATTAGGATGTCATGACGAAATGATGGTGAACTAAAAAATAATGGTTAATGCGATGTTATGTTAAGGTTCAAGCAATGCAACATCAAAGATGAAGATTGTGGAGTTTGCTATTGATCAGTCTGGACAGGTAAGGCAACTAGCTGAATGTGTTTAACAGCATGACATGCAAAAGTATGACAGGTGGTAATTTATTCACATGCTTTTATGCACTGGCTTTTGTATGATAAATGGACACATTTTGATTCCAAGCTGATATGGTTTACTTAATTAGGTGTGCAAAAGCTTGTTTGGCAGCAAAAAAGCCTGTGCCCAGAGGTTGTTTCAGGGTTCAACCTGTGAGTAAGCCATGCCCTGACTTAGATCAGCCCAGAGGTTGTTTCAGGGTTTGATCTGTGAGTAAGCCATACCCCGACTAAGATCAGCCAAGAGGTTGTTTCAGGGTTCAATCTGTGAGGTAGCCATGCCCTCACTTAGATCAGCCCAGAGGTTGTTTCAGGGTTCGATCCGTGAGTTAGCCATGCCCTGACTTAGATCAGCCCAGAGGTTGTTTCAGGGTTCAATCTGTGAGTTAGTCATGCCCTGACTTAGATCAGCCCAGAGGGTGTTTCAGGGTTCTATCTGTGAGTTAGCCATGCCCTGACTTAGATCAGCCCAGAGGTTGTTTCAGGGTTCTATCTGTGAGTTAGCTATGCCCTGACTTAGATCAGCCCAGAGAGCGTTTTAGAATATTGATAAAATAGATGTTTTTATTATGATACTGTCAGATGTGTGACACAGTTATGGTGTATCAGCTGATGGTGCCGTTAGATGAAATATTTCCTAATATGGAATATGTGGTGCGAGCAGGGTGGTTGCCAGACGGACAGAGGTAAATACTAAGTATATTATTATTATTTATACAAACGTAGAATGTATATATGATAAACACAATAAACAAATTGCTAACAAGTTATCAGTGTTTGAACAAAATAGAGTATGAAAGCTGAAAGCTCCTATCATTAAAAATGTTAACCATAGAACATGTACACAATATATTATTTATGTTAAATATTTGAAGTGTAAAAAGCTTGGTCATTGGCTAGATAAAATATTCAAGATATTATGCACACTGTGATTTGCTGACTACTGTGTTTATATAAGAGGACAGAGACACACTCCCAAAAAATCATTAAAAAAGATTTTATAAAAACAATATTTAAAGGCTGCTTATGTCTCTGTACTGTGATATAAACACTCTGGGAGCTGTAGAGCACTCGAGAAGCAAGAGAAACACTTTGCTATGCTTAGCATTCCTAAGCTTGCTTCTCTTGTACTCTACAGCTCACAGCATGTTCATATCACAGTACAGAGACATGCGCATGTATGTGTTTTATATCCCTTTATTAAATAGTGGATAATGAGCAATAACTATTATTTAAGGTTTATTATTTCTAACATTTATTTTCAGTGTATGGGTACAACTGTTATCCCGTAACCAGCAGCATATGACGATGGTTCAAATCCCATTAGCTTGCTTTAGTCATATAGTTCCATCAGAGTTTGACCTTATAAGTTCATCAGATTCTTTACCCCTGATGAAGGTCATAGCAGAAGATACCACTGACATATGGATTAATGTAAGAATGAAGATAATATCGATCATTTTCTTTCCTTGAAGGCCATGTATTATTCCCTTGAGTATTATTTTTTTCTTTACTAGAAATGCTTTTTAGCTATGGTGCAAAGTTTTCCATTTCAGACCATTGTCATTCTCTTGAGTATTATTTCTTTCTTTGCTAGGAATGCTTTTCAGCTATGGTGCAAAGTTTTCCTATTTTAGACCGTGTGTCATTCCCTTGAGTATTATTTCTTTCTTTACTAGGATTGCTCTTCAGCTATGGTGCAAAGTGTTCCTATTTCAGACCATGTGTCATTCCCTTGAGTATTACTCACCTATTTTTTTGAACCTTGTAGTTATCAGATATTGTCTACTTCCTTAAAAATGCAACATCAGAGACTCAGTTCATCTGGTCCAGTGAATCCTCAGGTCACAGACATCTGTATTTGGCTACAGTCAACAGTCGTCATGTGATGTCACGAGGAAGAAGTAGAAGCTTCCTTGGACAGAATTCTGTGTACTACCCCCTGGTGACTCAGCAGCAGTTAACAGACGGGGATTGGGAGGTTGATGGCAAGCAGGTAAAGTTATGACACCACTCCCAACCCTCTCCACCCCCAAAAATATCAATCCTCCTCCATTGGGAAGTTATGGATATTTTCTGGAACTACACAATATACTCTCCTTGGGTCCTTCCACTTCTTGGGAATACCAATCTTTCTCCCTGAGGGAAATATGGATAATACTGCTTACAAAATGTTGTTTATCTATGCAAATGTAAACAATATTACAGTGTTATGACTGTCCCTGGTGGAAATCCTGGACAGGATCTTAGGTAGGATCCTAACAGGATGTTATTCACAGGATCTTATTCAGTAGGATCCAGGATTTTCTAGGATCTCATAGAGTATGATCACGTGTAGAATTTGCACCAGGGTGTACTTCTATTAACTGTATTGTTAATTTGTTTCTTTTCAGATTTGGGTTGATGAAAGCAGAAAACTTGTTTATTTTATGGCGACCAAAGAAACACCACTAGAACAGCATTTGTGAGTTATCAAATCTTGTTAATATATTATTAGCTACTGATCTATTTATCTTTTGTTATGATTATGACTTTTAAAAGTTATCAACAAGGAAAGTCGTAAAAAATGTAATTTTTGCTTGTAGATATGTAGTGTCATATGATGACCGTGTAGAGAAGACTATTCAGAGACTTACTGAACCAGGAGCTTACCACACCATTACCATGAATGAGGTATGCAATATATATAATCAATATTACCATGAATGAGGTATGCAATATGTATAATCAATATTACCATGAATGAGGTATGCGATATATATATAATCAGTGTTACCATGGATGAGGTATGCGATATATATAATCAATATTACCATGGATGAGGTATGCGATATATATATAATCAAATAATCAATGTTACAATGAATGAGGTATGCGATATATATATAATCAATGTTACCATGAATGAGGTATGCGATATATATAATCAATGTTACCATGAATGAGGTATGCGATATATATAATCAATATTACCATGGATGAGGTATGCAATATATATAATGAATGTTACCATGAATGAGGTATGCGATATATATAATCAATATTACCATGGATGAGGTATGCATGAATGAAGAATTTGGAGGTTGATATTTGCAGAGGGAGATAAACTGGAAAACCCTGAGAAAAACCCTCGAAGCACGGGAGAGAACCAACAAACAACTCTACTCACACACAACACCAAGCCTGGCAGGAATATAACTCAAGTCACATTTGTCAGAAACGAGGCCTTAGCAGCGCACAACAATCATTCTTCCCTACAATATGTACATATTTTATTCTCAATTTGGAATAATAATTATTTTATAATATTTAAATACTGTGCTTACTTTTGTAGGATTTCACAAAATTTGTGTCCCTGTCGTCATCTGTGAATGAAACACACAAAGCTGTAGTATATCAGATCGACAATGACGAGGTGTCTGTCAATAATATTCCCATGGTAACCATTGAGCCAATTGCCACTCTGCTGAAATCTGAAGGTAAAGTGATGATAAAACAGCAAGTTAACCCACCCTACAAAAGTGATCCAACACAGAACTAGCCTTGACTGTGTCCTCACTAACTTGTATATCTGATTAATTTTATTGTAATTTTTTCAGCTATTGGAGCAGAATCTTGTCCACCGGAAATATTTTCTTATCAAAGCAAACAAGGTGAGTTGATGATAACAATTATGGCTACCATCATATCATCATCTTAAAGGTTTTCCACTGAAAACCTGCCCCTCATCATCATCAGTTTATCATTGCTGTCATCATTACCATAATCATCATCACCATCATCACAATCATCATCACCATCATCTTCATCACCACCATCATCATCAACATCACCATCATCACCATCATGTATCATCATCTTTACCATCATCATGCATCATCATCATCAACATCACTACTGATATCATGATTACTATACTTATCCTCCATCATCATCAGTAACATTTTTACCTTCAATCATTATCATCATTAGATTACCAAAGAACTTCAAGATCATATTTGCTGATAATAATACATATTTTATTGTTGCAATCATTCTGTTCCTTTAGGACACCAAGCTTATGGTTTGATCTGCAAACCCCTGAACTTTGACCCTGGAGAAAAATATCCAACAATACTGTACGTGTATGGTGGACCACAAGTACAGGTATGACTATATACACCATCATCATCACAATCATCATCACCAACATCACCACCACCATCATCATTATCTCCATTGTCATCATCAACACCATCATCTTCATCTTCATCATCATCAGCAGCAGTAGTACCATCAACATCATCATCATGCATCACCATCATCATCAATATCATCGTCATCACCACAACCATCATCATCACCATTGTCATAATTTACATGTATCATTGCCATCATCATAATTATTGTCATCATCATCATTATCATCACCATTATCATTATATCATCAGCATCATTATCATTACTCCATTGCATAGTCATCATCATGTTGGTCTGTAAAGATTTTCCAGTAAAACTACATGAATTGTTAATGAGGTATGATTCTCTTGTTCTTCAGTTGGTAACAAATTCATACAAAGGAGTGCGATTTCTGAGGCTTCACACTTTAGCCATGTTGGGCTATGTAGTGGTGGTGATTGACAGTCGTGGATCTTCCAGAAGAGGACTGCACTTTGAAGGACATATAAAAAATAGAATGGTACTACAATCCTAAAATTATAACACCACCATCTTGATTTTAATCATTTTAATTCAGTGTTAAGGGCTTTTATTTTGGTAAACAATGGAAATCAATTAATGAGTGCTACACTGTGCATAAACACTGTCTATATTCATGCACAGAGCTGTACATTTGTGTAATTTGAAAGAAATTTACATGTGCAAAAATGACGAAAAATCGTGCAAAAACTGTTATAATACTTCATCTGAGGGGTATTGTACTTTATTTGTGTCAATAATCCTTTGGCAATAGGCACTGGTGTAATAGGTATTACATTCAGTGTAAAGGGCTGAAGGTAGAGTAACATCCAAGGGTTACAAGTGCTTGTTATGTGTGTGTTAAAGTATCAAACTTATCCATCACAAGACAAACCCTACAATTATAAAGAGTTGACCCAGGAGGGTGCCGACACCCTCGTCACACCCCATCAAACCTGACGTTCAATTGATTTTATTATCTTAAACTTTAGTTTTGCCATCAGTTAGAATTAACTTTCGTAAATGTTTGGACCCCCCTTCAATAATATACCTGGATCTGCCCTTGGATCGAAAGTATTTTTTATTTCATTAATCTGTGTTCATTTACGTCCCATTCAGGGTAAAGTAGAGATAGAAGATCAAGTGGAGGGATTGGAGTATATCGCCAAGACAACCAACTGCATTGACATGTCTAGAGTAGCTATCCATGGATGGTCGTACGGTATGTGTACGGCGTACTATACTCTACGTGTATACATGGGTAATAACTAGTCTTGATGTTTCTTGATGTTCATGTAATGTTCTTGTTCTTTTCAGGTGGCTATCTATCTCTTTTTGGTCTAATTCAGCGCCCAGACATTTTCAAGGTAAGTATGCCGGCATTATATAGGCTTATAGTTGATTTTATCATAATGATGATAATTATGATGATGATGATGGTAGTTGTGATGATGATGATGGTAGTTGTGATGGTAGTTGTGATGATGATGATGGTAGTTGTGATGGTAGTTGTGATGATGATGATGGTAGTTGTGATGATGATGATGGTAGTTGTGATGATGACGATGGTAGTTGTGATGATGATGATGGTAGTTGTGATGGTAGTCGTGATGATGATAATGGTAGCTGTGATGATGATGATGGTAGTTGTGATGATGATGGTAGTCGTGATGATGATGATGGTAGTCGTGATGATGATGATGGTAGTTGTGATGATGATGATGGTAGTTGTGATGATGATGACGGTAGTCGTGATGATGATGACGGTAGTCGTGATGATGATGATGGTAGCTGTGATGATGATGATGGTAGCTGTGATGATGATGATGGTAGCTGTGATGATGATGATGGTAG